TGCAAAAATGCCCTGGGTCAGCACATGCCCTGGGTCTTGCAACATCCCTGGGTCTAGCAACATGCCCTGGGTTTTTGCAACATGCCCCGGGGCTGCAACATGCCCTGGGGGCTTGCAACATGCCCGGGGCTTGCAAAATCCCTGGGTCTAGCAACAGCCCTGGTCTTGCAACAGCCTGGGGCTAGCAACATGCCCGGGTCCAGCAACATGCCCTGGTCCCGCAACATCCCTGGGTCTTGCAACAGCCCCGGTCTAGCAACATGCCCGGGGCTTCAACATGCCCTGGGGCTTGCAACTGCCCGGGTCTGCAACCCTGCCCTGGGTCTTGCAACATGCCCTGGGTCTTGCAACATGCCCTGGGTCTTGCAACATGCCCTGGGTCTGCAACATGCCCTGGGTCTTGCAACATGCCCTGGGTCTAGCAACATGCCCTGGGTCTAGCAACATGCCCTGGGTCTTGCAACATGCCCTGGGTCTACAACATGCCCTGGGTCTTGCAACATGCCCTGGGTCTTGCAACATGCCCTGGGTCTTGCAACATGCCCTGGGTCTTGCAACATGCCCTGGGTTTTCAAATCCCGGTCTTGCAAATGCCCGGGTCACAACATGCCCGGGGTTTTGCAACATGCCCTGGGCCCCAGCAACATGCCCGGGTCTAGAAACATGCCCTGGGCTTGCAACATGCCCGGGTCTACAACATCCCTGGGTCTAGCAACATGCCCTGGGTCTTGCAACATGCCCTGGGTCTTGCAACATGCCCTGGGTCTTCCAATGATTGCAACTTGACAACATCTCGGTTAAACAAAGCTCATCCAAGGATAACTTCATGGCTGACTCACTCTCCACGGCTTGATTGTTACGAAGTTATAATTATTTTTGATATATTGTGTAATATTCGGTGTAGGATATACGGTGTATAATTGTTAATAATTTATATGAAAAGTAAAACAATAAGGTTTCTTTGTTGATGACACACGATGCTGCTGTCCACAAGTGTCTTGAACCTTAGTCCAAGTGTTTATGACTCACTCTAGTGTAAGTGCTTGGTATTAAACTCCCTTTTTGGGTTGAGTACTATTGCACTCCTTGAATGGGGTCCAATGTTTATAGTGTATATATATACCTTATCACATAATTTTATATTGTCAATATTTTCATTAATAGCTAAAATGAAAATATCTTGCTTTATATTATTATTTGAGTTATTATATTAACTATGTATGTAGGTAGGATGTAATATATTACACTTCTCACTGTGCTCGCTGTTCAAGAGTTGTGATTGGCTGTTTGCAGTCGCAAACTGTCTTGCTAACTACTGTTCGCTTGTTTGTGTCAGGCTGTACCTCACACCATTGCTTGAATATCATGGGCAAGTCACGTGATCTCACCTGATATGAGGCCAAAGCTGGTCTTTGCTTGACCAGCACCTTCCTCCATCTCTTCAGGGATCTATCTTGTCTCAGGCAGTTTGTTCGTTATTTAAACTTTGTTTTGGTAAGTATGATTTCGTTGGTGAGTTGAAACATGCTTCTTGTAACTCTGTGTAACTCTCTTTACAGAGCATTGTTCAGACTTATTGATTTTTGACGTTTTACTGAGGTTGTGTGTTGTACTGACACTCTAAGTCAACCCAGGTCCCAAGCTAAAGCTTTTGACATATACTGTATAGCATCTGTGCACTATCATAGTCAGGGATTCTGTTATCCTCAACTTAGATTCAGTTTAAGGGAGTTTTATGACATTTATAGAGGATCTGCTGATGAACCCCAGTTAGGGTCGTTATATTGTCTGCTTGTTCCTCACGTTGTACTGCTACTTGTTACATTACTGCTGCTAGCGAATGATTCGTCATATTAATCAAGCAAACTGTTTTGATTGCCTTGATGGTCAAGATGACAGAATATTTGAGGACGTTTAGTCAATCACTGTTTAAGTCTGACTTTAGCTGAGTCTTACTAAGACATAGCAAGCACTTTGAGCACACATGCACACACACACACACGCACACACACACACACACACACACACACACACACACACACACATGACGGAAGGAATAGACTCTGAGGTGTCCCTGTTTGCAGATGACGTGAAGTTGATGAGAAGAATACACTCGATCGAAGACCAGGCAGAACTACAAAGGGATCTGGACAGGCTGCAGAACTGGTCCAGCAATTGGCTCCTGGAGTTCAATCCCACCAAGTGCAAAGTCATAAGATTGGGGAAGGGCAAAGAAGGCCGCAGACGGGGTACAGTCTAGGGGGGCAGAGACTACAAACCTCACTCAAGGAAAAAGATCTTGGGGGGAGTATAACACCAGGCACATCTCCTGAAGCGCACATCAACCAAATAACTGCTGCAGCATATGGGCGCCTAGCAAACCTCAGAACAGCATTCCGACATCTTAATAAGGAATCGTTCAGGACCCTGTACACCGTATACGTTAGGCCCATATTGGAGTATGCGGCACCAGTTTGGAACCACACCTAGCCAAGCACGTAAAGAAACTAGAGAAAGTGCAAAGGTTTGCAACAAGACTAGTCCCAGAGCTAAGAGGTATGTCCTACGAGGAGAGGTTAAGGGAAATCAACCTGACGACACTGGAGGACAGGAGAGATAGGGGGGACATGATAACGACATACAAAATACTGAGAGGAATTGACAAGGTGGACAAAAACAGGATGTTCCAGAGATTGGACACAGTAACAAGGGGACACAGTTGGAAGCTAAAGACACAGATGAATCACAGGGATGTTAGGAAGTATTTCTTCAGCCACAGAGTAGTCAGTAAGTGGAATAGTTTGGGAAGCGATGTAGTGGAGGCAGGATCCATACATAGCTTTAAGCAGAGGTACGATAAAGCTCACGGCTCAGGGAGAGTGACCTAGTAGCGATCAGTGAAGAGGCGGGGCCAGGAGCTCGGACTCGACCCCCGCAACCTCAACTAGGTGAGTACAACTAGGTGAGTACACACACACACACACACACACACACACACACACACACACACACACTCACATACACACAGTGGGAGGAGGAAAGGGAGAGGTCAGTTTTTATCTACGGGCTCCAAGAAGCCAAGGGGGACAACTTCGAAGAAATAAAACAGGAGGAAAAAATGATTGAAGGCATCATGAAAACAATAGGTGAGGATGATATGACCCAGGTGACAAATTTTCGGAGAACTGGGTGGTTTGCGAGTGGAAGGATATGGCCTGTCAAAGTAATTTTCAAGGAAGGATTAGTTTGAACCAGGATTCTGCAAGAGAAAGCACGACTGAGGGACAAACACGGGTACCAGAGAGTATACCTCGATCACGACAGAACACAAGAAGAAAGGACTACACTGAAAGAGAGAGTACAGAGATGCAAGGAGGAACGAGAGGCAATGATGAAGATGAGCAGGACCCAGACACAGGAGGAAGGGCAAACACATCCCGCAGAATCTCCCACCAAAAGACTCCCACTGCGACAATCCCAACGCAACTAAGCAACCCAAACCACAACCCACTCATCTCAACAGCTGTCCCTTATTGGCATTCTGACCCCACCCCATCATCACAAACCCCACCTACACCACAGCCCCCCATAGGGCCCCACCAAGGCTCCCACTCCCCCAACCCCAATATTCTTGCAGGACCACAGTGATAGAAAAGAAACTGAAAGTTTGGTACACAAACGTGGACGGAATAACGAATAAACGTGAGGAGTGGCACGAAAGAATCAGTGAGAAATCCCCAGACATCATAGCAGTCACAGAAACAAAACTCACTGAGACAATAACAGACGCAATCTTCCCACCGGGATATCAGATCCTGAGAAAAGATAGAAGGAGTACAGGGGGCGGAGGAGTTGCACTGCTCATAAGAAACCGATGGGGATTTGAGGAAATGGAAGGCATGGACGTGATTGGAGAAAGAGACTACATAGTAGGTACAATTCAGTTTGGAGAACATAAAGTAGTCATTGGAGTGATGTATAACCCACCACAGAACTGCAGGAGGCCAAGAGAGGAGTACGAAGAAAACAACAGGGCGATGGTGGACACACTGGCTGAGGTGGCAAGAAGAGTTCACTCGAGCAGAGCAAAGTTACTGGTAATGACTGGTGTAAGTTACCTTGAAGTCTGGCTCGTGTAAGTTACCTTGAAGCATGGCCGGTGTAAGTTACCTTGAGGTCTGGGGGTGTAGTTACCTTGAGGGCTGGCTGGTGTAAGTTACCTTGATGTCTGGCTGAAGTAGGTTACCTTGAGGTCTGGCTGATGTAAGTTACCTTGGAGTCTGACTGGTGTATGTTGCGTTGAGGTCTGGGGGAGTATATGCTACCTTGAGGGCTGGCTGGTGTAAGTTACATTGAGCTCTGGATAATGTAAGTTCCCTTGAAGTCTGGCTGGTGTCAGTTACCTTGAGGTCTGGCTGGTATAAATTACCTTGAGATCTTGCTGGTGTAAGTTACCTTGAAGCCTGGCTGGTGTAAGTTACCTTGAAGTCTGGCTGGTGTAAGTTACCTTGAAGTCTGGCTGGTGTAAGTTACCTTGAGCTCTGGATGATGTAAGTTACCTTGAAGTCTGGCTGGTGTAAGTTACCTTGAGGTCCGGCTGGTGTAAGTTACCTTGAGGTTTGGGGGTGTAAGTTACTTTGAGATCTGACTGGTGTAAGTTACCTTGAGGTCTGGGGGGTGTATGTTACCTTGAGGTCAGGCTGGTGTAAATTACCTTGAGGTCCGGTTGGTATAAGTTACCTTGAGGTCTGGCTGAAGTAGGTTACCTTGAAGTTTGACTGGTGTCAGTTACTTTGAGGTCTGTCTGGTATAAGTTACCTTGAAAACTTGCTGGTGTAAGTTACCTTGAAGCCTGGCTGGTGTAAGTTACCTTGAGGTCTGGCTGGTGAAAGTTACCTTGAAGTCTGGCTGATGTAAGTTACCTTGAAGTCTGGTTGGTGTAAGTTACCTTGAGGTCTGGGGGGTGTAAGTTACCTTGAGGTCTGGCTAGTGTAAGTTACCTTGAGGTCTGGAGGGTGCCTGACACCTTGGCTCTGGAAGGTCAGTCTCAGGGCACCAGTTAAGGCTGCCAGTAAGACATCGTTGAGACAGGTGCGCGTGACCTGCTTGATGCGTGCCACTCTGCTCAGTGGCACTGCTGCTGACCACACCACTACCTGGCCCTCCCCTCTCCCCTCCCCACCCCCCCACACCGTATAGGCCCCACTCTCACTCGACCTACTGACTCCCACCTCCCTGTGGCACCCACAGCAAGATTTGGTGCTCTTGGGATGTCTTGCCGGTGGCACCGTTGTCCCGCGCCGCACAGTCAGGAGGTTGATCTCGGGCCCCCACCACCAGAGCCACTTGAGGGCCGTCAAGGGCCCCACTAAGAGGGCCTTAAAAAGGTTCATGCCATACGTAGTGCCACCGAAGTGAGGTTTCTGAGGTATGTGCATTATCTGATTGTCTGAGAGTGAGTGGCATAGGACCCTGACCAGGGACATGCCATCAGATATAGACTGGTGTAGGCGGCACACTAGCACTGTGTCCCTGCTGCGACCATAGTCGTGTAGCACCACCATCTGCCAGAGTGGACGTGCGAGTGGAAGTGGCTGCGACAGCAGGGCACTGACGTACCTTTGAAGACCCTCTTCAGTGCTGATGCTAGGTCCAGAGACCACGTGATTGTGCAGGTTAAAGTTGTGGTCTTGAACCCAGGCAGGTCCGGCAGGCATCTGCATGATGGTCTGGGTGAGGCGTGGGTACATGAGACTCCCCGACCCGTTTTTGGCGTCCACTACCCGCGTGGCTAGCAGCTGTTTGATTCGTTTGAGGTTGATGGATGCGTCAATGATGAGGATGCTGTGAATGACTGAATCTTGACCAGCATCCTCCAGCAAGAACTGTGCATCATGTGCTGACACATAGTCACTGTGGCATGCAGTGACGCAGCTCCTGGTCCTGGGCACCCTGCACAGAGCCGCCAGGGCCTTCACTAGCAACCCCACAGGTAGTGCCAGTAAGAGTGCCAGGCTGAGAGGCACACTGATGACGCAAGTGAGCACAACAGAGGTCACAGACACCAAGAAAGACACAAGAAAACTCTGCTCCAGAGGATGTGAGATTCTCTTTATGGGAGCAGATTTAAGGTACTCTGGCACAGACCGATCTAGTGACCGGTCTAAAGACCGTCTCCTCTTTCTCTTCCAAGCCTCAGACAGCTGTTTCTCCTCTTCTCTCTCCTCTAGTGCCACCACATTGATGTAAGTTTCTTGCAATTTAACCTGAGTGACAGACAAGTCAGTGCCACGTCGTGAAAATTTTGAGTACGCTGAATTGGCACTCTTGTAGGTGGTGGGGTCTGGCTGGGCGGGGTCTGGCGGGGCGGGGTCTGGCGGGGCGGGGTCTGGCGAAGTGTGCTTGGTGTTGGGGTTTGGTGAGGTGGTACGGGAGGTGGGGTCTGATGAGGTGGGGTTGGAGGTGGGGTTGGAAGGGAGAGCAGGGTCGTCTGCTGGGGAGTGCCAGGGTGCCACGTCCAGCGGTGAAACTCGAGGTGGGTCGAGTGGAGAGAGACGAGGTGGGTCGAGTGGAGAGAGACGAGGTGGGTCAAGCGGTGAGAGACGAGGTGGGTCGAGCGGTGAGAGACGAGGTGGGTCGAGCGGTGAGAGATGAGGTGGGTTGTGAGATGGTCGTCGGGGTGGTTTGTAGAGGAAGAACTGACGTTGATCCAGTGGTGGGTTCCTGGGTGGGTCTTGAGGTGGGTGCCTGAGTGGGTCTTGTGGTGAGAATTGCTGTGGGTCATGAGGAGATTGTTGAGATGGGTCTTGAGGAGAGTGCCGGGGTAAGTGCCGGGGTGGGTCATGAGGAGAGTGCCGGAGCGAGTGCCGGGGTGGGGCATAAGGAGAGTGCCGGGGTGGGTCATGAGGAGAGTGCCAGGGTGGATCATGAGGAGAGTGCCGGGGTGAGTGCCAGGGTGGGTCATGAGGAGAGTGCCTGGGTGGGTCATGAGGAGAGTGCCGGGATGGGTCAGGAGGAGAGTGCCATGGTGGATCGTGAGGAGAGTGCCGGGGTGAGTGGTGGGGTGGGTCAGGAGGAGAGTGCCGGGGTGATTGCCGGGGTGGGTCAGGAGGAGAGTACCAGAGTGGGTCGCGAGGAGAGTGCCGGGTGAGTGTCCCGGGGTGGGTCTGAAGAGAGGTGCCGGGGTGAGTGCCGGCGTGGACATGAATGAGTGCCGATGAGCGATCCCACGGGGAAGTGCCAATGTTGATCATGTGGAGAGTGCCAAGGCGAGGTCCAGGAGACAGACTTCGAGGAGGTGGCACTAGCAGGATAGAAATGCCTACCAGACCCACACATCAACACTGGTCTCAGACCACTCAAGCTGACACTGATGACCTCCCACCATCATGAAAGAGTGCATGCTGCTGCTGGCACTACCTCTCATGGCATCCTGCAAAAAAACAGAGAAACAACATCAAATATTACACCACTGGTCAGTCCACTACACTATCAATGTTCCTTATTTAGAATGATTGTGACGTTAGCAAGAATACAAATGGGATGGCCTGTTCTGGAGGTGATATATTGGTACTGAAAGGTGGTTGAACCAGCCTGTCAAATCTACCTATACCTTTAAATAGTATTTCTCTGTCCCTCTACCAAGGCTTTAGAGTGAGTGTAAGAAATGTCCCTTTTAGGTACACCGCAGGGAGGAGTTCTCAGTCCATGCTATTTAATATTCTGATAATTAATGCTCACTCTCTAAATGCTCTACCTGCCTCCTCCCAAAAATATAGCTATAAGCCCTAAGCGATGACATCATGATCTAAACAACATGGCATAAGAAGATGAGTACCATTTCTTAATTAAGTTCAAGCAATTTGTAACCGACTAGGCCCTCATAATACTTCCCTCTAAAACAAAGATATTAACAAGCAAACGACATCCCCACCCATCTTTCTGAAGGAATTGAAACATTACTACGTTTAAAACTTACAGATATCTTGGTGAGATGTACCCTTTAACAATCCACTATACCACACCTAAATATGAAATGCAAAGAACGGGCTAAATTGCTCCAAAAAGCTGTGTGCTGGCTTACAACCCCAACTTAATGTGCTATTGGTGGTGGCTACAAACCCCACTTATGGTGGCTATGTTCTCATAGTAGTACCATTTTACCAGTAACCAGTTACCAGTAAGATGACTCCCCCCAACCGTCTCTGCCTGAGTCACTGTCTGTATTCCATATTGTGCTGACCACAGCAGTATTCAAAGACCCCCCCTCACATATGGGTACTGTGGGCGCCCAGTCAGTTTTATACGAGAGAGAGCAGAGAGAAGGTACGGCTGTTTGGGCGCTCCCCAGCATTATCCGTAAATTATACGTACTACCACCAACGTGAGTATTACTTTACCCTATCCACGTGTTCGACTCCCACATTGAATAAATGTGGCACAGCACCGGTGTGGAGCATGGAATTTAATTTTTTAACGGGTAATTCAAGAACATTAGAAGACTGTTTGTGAGTAGCCGGCAGGGTCAAAGGGAACCGTCTCACACACCAGCTACTCGCTCCCCTCACAAACCTCCACCTCCAGCCTGCAAGCCTGTTGCAAGCCGTTTTTTTTCAAGCTTCCCTTCCTGGCTTAGTTTCGTGTGCATTTGCTTCAATCTCCAGAGGGGTTGACCCGGATTTTGCAATTAAGCAGTCAGTAAGCCAGACTGTGGAAGTGAACGCCAGTCCAGCCTGTCATCCAGCCAGCCTGTCTCCACTGTCATCCACCTGCTCCTTCCGTGGCTGTGTGCATAGTTAAACAAGTCTTCCAGTCAGACCATATCTCGTGGGGAAGCCATCAGAGCCAACCCAGCTTTTCTAACCCAGCTGAGAGAGAGAAATAAGCCACCGCAAGTTCCTCTGAGGTAATTGTCTCATGTATCGCTTTGTGCTCCCTGTTGGATGCTAAGAGTGGGTTTTCACCATTCCTGTGGCATAGAGAGGCGTAAAATAATCAAGCCAACCTTCGTGGGCAGTGAGTTGGAGTGGCGCAGTGCGCGCAGCAGAGCATCAGCGAGAGTCACACCCACCACCCCCAATTCTACTCACACCCACCCACCACCAGCCACCCAACTCAAATCTACCTGTGGTTAGTTTGCACCCTTGTAACCGGGTCCTAATACTGTTTTTGGCTCACATAATTGGTCCAAGAGATTGTAGCTGAGCCGCCGACGATAAAGCCATTATTTTGAGTTCACCGAGAAAGCGCATTTCTTCATGACGACAGTGTGAGTGTCGGCGTCATCATCAAACCGCGCAGGACAACCTTCCTCATCACAAGTCCAACACCGTTGACTACTACTCCAGCCTTCAGCGAATAATTTTCTGTTTAGGAGACATTTTCTTTGGCCTCTAAAAACATTTGGGCGTGTGTGAATCATTTTCTAGTGAATTTTCTTGAGTACTCTAGAACCTGTGTTTTCAGTGTAGACTCATGGTATTTGACTCGATATTTTTTGCATAATTTTTCAGTGTTTTCACTCATCTCATATTTTTTTATCTTGTGTTTTTTTTTTAGCTACTCTCTGTCTGTAGTAAGTATTATTGTGTAGTGTACCAGTCAGCTCACTCCGTGTGAAGTGATTATTTTTTTTATTGTATCTTTCAGCACTGTAAGTTCTCCAGTAAATGTCTTTGTAGTTCATGCAGTGATATTCACCCAGTATACCAAATTATTCCATTTATTCTATTGTGTCTTTTTTTTCGTATGCCCAGCAGTGTCCCCATTCCTCTAATTATTTATTTTTTTTTTTTTCGCAGACCCTGTTAACCAATTATTTTTTGCCAGCTAAATTTTTGTCGTATCAGTCACATGGCAAAGATTTTTATGTAAGAATATACTAAAAATAATGAAATACGTGTTTAATTGGTAGTGTGCCCCACCACTTTGGTAATGTTACACTGCCTCAACCACTTGTAAAAGTGTTACACTGCCCGTTTGTTCCTTTGGTTTTATTTTTATTCAATAAATTTTTTATATTTCTTTGAACAAATTCACGCTTGATGTAATTTCAATTACTTTTAACGAAAGAGTTTTTCTTTACTCTGTTTGAGTAAATTGTTTTGTCCCTAATTTACAATTAAGAGTTAAAGTGTTCAATCAGTTTTTTTCTTTCTTCAATATTTTTATTTCATTATTTTAACCCTGAGTTTTCCCAGTGACACTTTATTACTAATACAGTGATTATTTCTACACCTTATTTTGTTGCACTTGTTCTGGCAGTGGATTATTTTGTTGCACTTTTCTGCAGTGGAATTAATTTTTGTTGCACTTGTTCGCAGTGAATTAATTTTTTATTGTATTTTTCTGCATTTATTTTCTCTTCATTATTGCACTTGTTTTTCCTTTTTTCTAAATTTTTTTCCTGATGCATCTTGGCATTATATTTTTAATTTGTTTTTATGGCATTTCTATAGAAAATTATTTAAATTTCCCAGTTAACAATTTAGTAACTTTATTTTATACTTTTTTACATTCATTTCAAATTTTAATTAATTAATTTTCCTTTATAGCAAGAGTAAAGACAGCTCATTTTGCATTTAATTCAGTCTCCCAGTAATATTTTTACTTTATATTTCAATGTAATTTTTTTTTTCTTGGGCCAATAGCCTTACATTGATTGTCCTTTCCTCTTTGCAATGTATCTTAAACATTTTTTTTTTATATACTTCTGCAGAATTAGTTGCATCCTCTTTTATTTCAATTTTAGCATTTTGTATCAATTTTTTATGTTCATTTATTTTTGCCTATTTGTTCTCTCGTCCAACTTTGCCATTATTCTCACATCCGTAAAGTGATACTTTAGTGAATGTCGACACTCAGACCTCTCAGGCATACTGCTGCTCCTGTCATCAGTCCTCACAATTCCATTCCTTACCGACTGACAGACCGACCAGACACTGAGATACTATAGATTTTATAACTCGTGATTCCCTTGAATCGTTACCTTTATCAATGGCCATGTACGTCAGGTTAGTCCTTGAAGCATGGTTTTGCGGCTATTCGTTCTCGTGCTTGGTCTTCCTAGTTGAAGGTCCTCCTTCAGAGGAAAGTCTTATGCCGACTTGCTAAAGAAGCTCTTCATCGACTTCCCCTGCTCCTGTTCACGTTGTTGATTCTCCTTGATATATGCGTGACTTCAGGAATCTTACTAATGCCTCAATATGAGGAACTGATTCGTTCTTTTCCTTGTCCATAAAAACATTGTAGTGATACTGGTCCCTGTGAAGGAGCAGCAGCAGGATTATACTGCCAACCACCTCTAGGGGCCCTTTAACAACAACAACAACAGTTTGGTGTGGTCCATTGGGCACCCAACACATGGTTTGTGATTCTCTTATATCTTTATCCATTTATCTTGCGATGCAGATTACATGGTGAGTTTTAATATTGGCTGTTAGTTAATAACTTTTCTCTTGACATAGCAAGACATCACCATCCCCTGTAGAAGCCAATATAGATTACTAGTCATTTATATTTTTGTTGTTGCAGAAGACTATGAAGATTCTATGTTCAATAAAGCCCAGAGATAAGGCCCTGTGTTTCTATCACAACAATTATATTGAACATAAGAATCCTGGGCTCCCTGGTGTGAATCCTGCGCCTAGACTACATCACAACAATGGAGCGTTTTGACTGAAACGCTGAGAGGCTAGACTGGACCCCAGCTATAATCAAACGGCTGCTCAGGAATGGAAGCACTGGTTAAGACTTTCGAAAACTTCTTGGGAGTCCCTTCCCTAAAGAAGATCCTAGATAAACTAAGTCTGCACATCAATTTTGGTGTCACCTAGATAATATGAGGCATATTTCTGAGTGTAATTACCTACGAATATGCTATCAAAACCCTCAATCTCAAGTATATTAAACCTACAAATGAATCTTTTGCAACGCTATCGCCTTGCAACTCGCCGCCAGCAACTGAATGGAGTCCTTAGAGAATACTTTCAAGCACTGAAAATCTTAGGTAAGGACTGTCACTTCCAAGCAGTGACAGCTGCTCAGTATTGGTAAAGCCTCAGGGATCTTTTTATCATGGCCTGCAATCACCAATAATAAGAGCGCAGCGTTTTTATTGGAGAATAAAACTCTCGACTTAGCCGCGCCTTTACAGGCAAGAGCCTAGATTCAGCCCCAGAAGAATTCTGAAGTATACAGTTACCGCTCAGGCCTTACTCGAGTGGTAAGTGCTGCAATTCCTGACCAAGACTCT